AGTCGCAATGGAACCTGCAGACGCTTGCGTCGGCATGCACAATCAGTGGAACGACTTACTGGTACAATTGGCACAACTGTAGGATCTTCATTAATGTACGGTGGCCCCCTATATCCTGGAAACCTCACCAGAACCACATCAGGTACTGGAGCAGGATCATCATTAGGTCTGTGTCCATCTTTGAACACAATGTCTACGACTGTACCTATCGCCCCATTGAAAAAACCCCAATCAGCCTTTAAGTTAACTACCAGAATGACTTTGCTGTCACGGGAAAGATACAGTAGAGGTAACAATCCTCCCACCTTATTACTGTAGGCCTTCACTGCATGTCTGCCATTGTGAACAGCCTTGATCTTTGCTACTGGGTGGTTTGGCTGTCTGTTACACTCAAGCAGCTTTGTTTTATTATGCTGCCATTCAAGACGGTGCGTGGGAAATACGTACAGACCTTGCTCATCCATCCTAGCAAGGAGTTGTGGCAGATGTGACATGCGGAGATTGTGCCATTAAAACTACTGTAGCCAATGGATTTGCTGGGGTGTTGTGGTATAATTTCTTAGTGACATCAGCACATCTCTCAGTTGTTGTTCAGATTCACTCTGCCGTATAATGAGTAAGCTCAACATGCGCTATCAAACATTGTCCAAACCAAGTGACCGTGGTTAGATGGTGCACTACGACAATCTGAGATGTACACGGGGCCGTCACACACAGGAGGAAGCTGAACATCATCTCCCATAAACACTGCCACAGGAATCCCTCCCCATAACTCATCTGCATTGGCTCCTTTGTTGATTGCATAACGTGCATGCTGTTCCATCTAGCCCATTGTTGTGCGTCCAAACATTGATCGTTCATCACCAACCAGAACTTTCAGATTTTCGCACTTTTTCTGAATTTTCTCTAATAAGGGACCTGTAGGTACAGTCAACTCATTGCAAGACCTTCCACCTGTTGGTAATCCAAGAAAACTGTGAGCTGTACTGTCTTGAACAAGATAGGCAGCATTCCCCGTTGGAGTTATCACCTGTATTGCATCACTGGCTTCAAAAACTTGCCGCACTAACCTCTGGAGACACTTGATGACATACGACTTTCCTGTACCAGCAGTTCGAGAGACAACAAGCTGCAATGGATGGTAATGTTTAGTGTTTTCAACAAAGTTGTAGAGGTGTGCAAAACTAGACACACTATGGCTTTCTGATTTGCATTTAGAGATAATGGACAAACCTGAGGTAAATCAAGGTCTTCACTTTCTGTCTCCTGTTCATCATCTGCTTTAATACTCTCTTGAAGCCATTTTTTTGGGTCTTCTCCTTCAGGAAGAATGATACGGGTACTGCTCCAGTCATAGTCCTTCCCACTATCATCATGATCAAAGTCTCTCTCTACACCCTCATATATTTGGTTCTGCCCTGAATAGACATCCACCCAGTCTGGTTGTTCTTCTGCTTCGACAGCATCATCTTCCTCATCCTCTTCAAATACTGAATCTCGTGGGTGGTCTGCATAACGCTTTGCCTTAGCAACTTGGGCCTTTACAAATGCTGGACAGTCATCACCTGCAAAAAAGTCCTTAAAGCGATCAATCCAAGATTCAGCATCCCCCTTCACTTCTTGGATGTCAAACCAGCTTGGCCAGTGTAGCAGGAGCATAGTCCTACAGTAGTCCTCATTCAGTGGCCACGCTGCGTGTGTAGAACCCCCACTTACGACAGGGATATTGCCGTTCCTCGATGCAAAGTGGTACCAAGAACAGTGCTCATCTCGTGGTCGTGCAAGGTACTTATCCAGTGGGGTGCTGCGAGTTGCAGTTTCACCATCACGTTCAAGTCTCCTTGACCCCGACATGGACAAATAGGTAAATGGACGGCTACATCGCCAAAGTGCTAGGCCACTCAGCTCAAAGGATGCTCCGGTCCACTGATATCTCGTCTTCCCACGGTCTTTATCAGCATCTTAGCACACATTGACTTACCTGTCACTTGGTCTGCATCAGCTGCATCAACAGCATTCACCATGTCCTTAAAGAGATCAACAGTTGCACCAGTGGGTTCGCTATCTTTGCAAGCATATCCACACACATAGTCAATTATGGCTATGATATCATCAGTGCTAGGATTGTCTGGAGGGGAATTGGAAAGAATCAAGCTTACATCCCCATTTGCTCTCCACGATTGTAACTGATAACGAGAATGCTGAACCACACATGGATGGTCACGTGGCATCTCTAGGCGGGGAGCTCCGCTATGATCTTCCACAATTTCCAGATTACTGTGCACTTTTTCCCCTGGGCGGAACTCACTTCCAAACTCCATCCGACATACACGTTCTCTAAGCTGCAGTCCTTGCTCCGGATGGCGAGGAGTTCTCAGGCAGTAATCAGAGCAACTGTGGAGTTTAACCCTGTTTACTAAAAGCAAATGATCCTCCAGTATTGCTTTTTGTGTTGCAGCTATTTGCATTAGAATTTTCACCAAGGGATCCCTGTCATCTGATATGGGCTCAGCTGTTCCCTCAGATGGTGACCAGAGGTCTTTTCCTAGCTGCCCTTCCTCATCATTGCCAGCTGTATGTAATGCTGTCATGGCAAAGGTTTCATCTGCCCAATGACTAAGTCTAGCTGCATACTCTTCCTCTTCGCAACCATCTTCTCGAGCTTCATGCAATAGCTGATGTGGTTGCCTGTCTTCGCTCCAGCTGAGTTGGTGCCAATGAATTTGACCACGGGACTTGGCAAACTCATAGCGGTACCAATAATCAGAGACACCAAATACCGGCTTCAGTACCTTCTCATGGTATGCCTGGATACGTAGGTCAAAGTAACTCACCACTTCATGAGTATTTTTTTGTACTGCCTTGAAGCGGGCATTGCTATCTTAAGCAAGGTTGACTTCTTTGCCTGTGGTCTGTAAGATGTACTCTTCCAATAGTCTCCTTAGTGGGGGAAAGTAAAACTCAGCACAGCTTCGAGTCATGAAAAATGAAGGCAACCCATGCTTCTCATTAACCATGAAATCAACCAAGGCACGAAGCTCTCTACGTCTCCGGTGCCAGTACTGAGCTGTTCCACGTAGATTTGCACCAAAATACAACGACTTGTCGGTAAAAGTGCCGCCTCTCGCAAGTTGCTCTTGCAGGTCTGCAACAGTTATTTGTGGGTCACCAAGTTGCTGATCAACAAAGAACCGACTCTGTTCCAGGGCACGCTTCCCCATGATCATATTGTGGACAACAAACTTCCAGACTTTATGCCTCGCAAACCTTCCGTCTTGGTACCACAGCAGGTGCTCTGCCCAGTTATGCAGTGTTGGACACGTCACCGAACGGTTTATGTGGAAATCACCCTTTCCATAGGGAAACAAGCAAGGAAATGCCATCTAAAAAAATAGGGAGTGGTAAACTCGAATGCCTGCTGTGGTCGGCCAAGGGATCACTGGTCGTTGTACATTTCGTTGTGCTTCTACAGCTTCACCTTCCCGAGGTTCAGAAACAATCGGGGATTATGCAAGGTTGTTTACAGCTGAGGTATAATCTAGATTATACGAGAAACAGGAGGCGAGATTTAACAATTCAATATCTCTTTATTCACTCTTGACACCTCAACATTACAACAGTGACTTTAAAGTAAGTCTAACACAACGGTAACTTCGCAACGTATATCAGCCGCTGACCCGCCAGTGGCTTTTGTCTTTTTCATGAACGAAGACTAACCTGAAAGAAAGCAGAAAAGAATACAACACTGACGGGAGGGTAAGGGAGGGATTTCATTGTTTAATCTCGATAATCTAGATTATACCTCAGCTGTAAACAGCCTTGCATAATCCCCGATTATACTTCAAAACACTCGTCTCAATTTAACAATGCATGTTCAAAGCTGCACTTGTACTAAATTCGCGTGGTACTTGATAGGATTGTCCTCCCTGGAGAAGTGTCAATTTGAGGTCGGTAATAAAACTTTGTGAAGGTGCTCGCTTGAGACCAGTCAGCAAACTGCAAAGTGTCAGGGATAGAAAAACCCTGTTTTGCCACCTCCGTAGCAAAAGCCCCACGCACTGAGTGACCCTTAAACATAGTAGTGTCAACGCCAGCCAGTTGCATCAGCTCTTTCAACCACCTGGTCAGTTTAGCAGGGGAAACTGGTTTGTGAGGGTTCATGTGTGGTAACAGAAGCTTATTAGGTTTTGAAGGGTCCTGTGGTCTCCATTGAAGCGTTCTGGCTACATATTTCTGTAGGCACTTACAAACGCAAAGATGCTTTTTTTCGGGAAAGCTAGCATGAAAACAAGACTTTGGATCCTGGCCTTGTCGGGCAGTTTTGGTCAGTTCCGGGGGTTTAAACTGAACTCTCTCAGGGTGAAAGTATCTAAAGCGTAGATCATGGGCTGCAAGACCGGAGGCCCTGTCTGGGGCAGTGAGAGCAAGCAATCCGACGAGCTTGTAGGACAAACGTTTTGTGGAAAGATTGGAATTTGAACCCAAAGATGAAATATATTGTACTACTTTCGAGACCTGCCACGTTGTAGCATAGCGCGGTTGAGGTGGGCGGAGTTGGAACACGCCTTTGAGTAAGTGGCATACTAGCGGATGAGAGCCTGCTTTGTGACCGTCAATTAGAGGCAAGACAGCAGAAAGGGCAGAGCGATAGACATTAACGGTTCTGTACTCTTTACCCCCACGAAAGTGGAGTGCGAGAAAATCCAGAACATTAGTTAAAGATGGTGAAAGGGGATTAACATTGACCTGTTGACTACACCAGCTACTCCATTTTGTCCAGGCAGAGGAATAGGCACTAGTTGTATTTTTCCTCCAGGCTGCGAGGAGGATTTCTCGACTCTGCGCAGAAATGTCTGCCGTTTGGTAACCTCTGCTGACAGAAGCCACCCAGCTAGCTGTAGGTGTTTGAGAGGGTGGGTTCTGCTTCCCTGGGTCAGTAGATCTTCCTGAACTGGTAGGAGGAGAGGGAAGTCTGTGCACAGGTCTAATACTAGTGGATACTAGGGTTGAGCTGGCCAAACTGGTGCTACAAACATTATGTGTGACACCTGCTGGCTCTGAATTTGGTGAAGGCAACGGCCTATCAGGGCAAATGGAGGAAAGGCATAGCCCCGAAAGGTCGCCCAGTCCAGGGTGAATGCATCCGTGTGAATTGCTAGAGGGTCTGGACGCCAGCTTACAAACTGATCTAGTTGGTAAGAGAGACGGGAGGCAAAGAGGTCGATATTCGGGGGACCCCACTTCTCATGGAGGCGGTTGAAAACCCCTGGATGAAGTTTCCAATCGCTGGAATCTAGAAATACTCTCGATTCCCTGTTTTCCCTGTATTCCCTGTATCCCTGTATTCCCTGTATTCTGTATTCCTAGGATGTAGCGCGCTGTCACCGAGATATTGTGGGTGAGGCACCAATCCCATAGATTTTTGGCTAGGTAACATAGCATGGGGGAGTGTGTCCCTCCCATTTTGTTTATGTAGGTTACTGCTGAAATGTTGTCCATCAGCAATAGTACCTGAGCCTTGGCTTTGTTGTTGGTGAAGGACATTATGGCTAGTGAGCCTGCTTGCAATTCTAGGCAATTGATATGGTATGAAGTATCTTCGGAGAGCCATCTGCCTCCTGTCGACATCCCTTGACAATAGGCTGCCCATCCTTGACGTAAGGCATCGGTCTCTATGACCAAATCTGTTGATTGTTGGAACAGGGCTTTCCCATTCCATGCTACTAGGTTGTCTTTCCACCACTGTACCTCTTGGAGGTACTCCGAGTCTAGATGGACTACAGCTTCGTAAGATTTGCGAAATCTGAGGACAGAGTTTTTCGCTTGTTGGAGGTACCGATAGTGGAGGGGAGCTGGAAAGACTGCCTGTATGGATGGGGACAGGAGGCCAAGGAATTTTGACAATTCCCTTTCAGTAGTAACCGGGGTGTTTAACAGATCCTGGCATTTCGACTGGATCTTTCTTATTTTGTCCCTGGGGAGGCTGAGGCTTAGGTCGAGTGAGTTTAAGAGTGACCCTAGGAACTCCATTTGATGGGAAGGAACTAGTACCGACTGTAGGTAGTTCACTGTAAAGCCTGGCCCCACTAGAAGATTTAGAGTCGAAGCAGCATGCTGAAGGACCTGCTCCGCTGAGGGCGCCATAAGAAGGACATCGTCTAGGTATACAATGAGTCGAATTCCTCTTTGTCCCAGTATAGACAACACTGGTTTTAACAATTTTGTGAATACCCTTGGGGCACTTGCTAAACCGAAGGGGAGGCATGCGAATTCCAGAAGTGAATCCCTCCAAAGAAACCTTAGGTACTTTTGGTGATTCTGCCATATTGGGACTGTCAGATATGCATCTTTGAGGTCTATTTATACCATGTAATCCCCTTTCTTTAAAAGATCTTTTAACATGTGTATGGACTCCATTTTGCTTTAACTTTATTTGATTTACCACAAAAAATACAAATAACGATAAAACAAGACAGTTACACAAAAGCAAATGAAAGTGGCGAGGAAGCCCAAACAGAAACCATGGGGCTTATAGACATTGGGCTCCCTCAGAGTAAAAATAAAGTTAACAGTAACGGTAAGGCCAGGATCGAAAGCAAAATACAATGAAGGTAAGTATAAATTAACTAATTACATAGACTGAGTTGACAAAATATAAGGTATGGTACAAGTAACAATAAGTATAAAAATAATATCAGACATGGAAGAAATATAACTATATTTACTACAAGATTTATAACTAATAATTCATATATAATTTTTTTTTCAATTTCGTTTTGAATAAGTGGAGAGAATTAGATTCTTTAATATCATTTTCTATAGTGTTATAATAAGTAGGTCCTTGGAAACTGACAGAAAATTTACGAAGGTTTGTTCTACAAGAAGGAAGGTGAAAATCGTTCGCGTGTCTAGTGGCATAGCTATGGACTTGTTTGTTTAAAGAAAAATAATTGTTGAACTTTGAAGGCAAAAGAGAATGGTTAAGAGAAAACATAAGTTTACCTAATTCTAGCTGTCTAATATCGGAAAGTTTTAGTAGCTCTAATTCTTTGAAAATAGGGTCTGAATGAGAATCGAAAGTTGATTTAGAAATAATTCTGATAACTCGCTTTTGCAAAGAGACAAGACGGCGAAGATTGGTTTTGTACGTAGATCCCCAGACAATAATACAATAATGAAGATAAGGATAAACTAAACAATAATAAAGAGTTTTTAGACACGGTTTAGGTAGAAAAAATCTTGCTCTATTAATGACACCTATTGATTTCGAGATTTTACGAGCTACTTGAGAAATGTGCGGTTTCCAAGACAGATGTTCATCAAGGACTACACCGAGGAAGACCGTTTCCTTAACCTGTTCGATTCTCTGTTCGTTTATGCATACTTGCATTGGAAAATGATACCTTTTCTGTCTAGGCTTAAATAACATAAAGTTTGTTTTCTTTAGGTTTAAGGAGAGTTTGTTTGCCTTGAACCAAGTGGATAATTTATTAAGTTCGGAATTGAGTGAGGCTGCCAGGTAGACAGGATCTTTATGGGACATAAATAAATTAGTATCATCAGCGAATAAAATCAGCTCGACGAGCGACGATACATTATTTAAATCATTAATATAGAGCAAGAAAAACAAGGGGCCCAAAATAGATCCCTGGGGGACACCACAGCAGATAGTTTGAGGAGAGGAGCATTGACCGTTAAATTGAACGAATTGCAACCTGTTGGAGAGGTAGCTTCTAACCCAGTCCAGAGCCACGCCACGTATACCATAGTGTTCGAGTTTGTCAAGCAGAATATTATGATCGACGGTATCAAAGGCCTTAGAAAGATCAAGGAAAACGCCAACGGCATGTTCATTGCGATCAAGAGCAAGGGAGATTTTTTCATATAGGTCAATCAATGCTAAAGAAGTTGAATGATTTTTCCTGAAGCCAAATTGATTATCACACAGAATTTCTAGTTTACTTAAATAATTATAAAGACGGTTATAAACAACCTTTTCAAGAAACTTAGAAAAGCTAGGGAGAATCGAGATCGGCTCCATTTTGAAGTGTTCGTATGGGATGAAACAGTTTAGGGGTTTTAGATTTGTCACTGGCCTGTGGCCCCCACCCTTTTTGGGTATTACAAAAAGGGAGCTGATGAATCCGGGTTCCTGTAGAGAGTCGGGTTGAACGAAATGGACTGCCTCTCTTGATAACAGTTCCCAAACCTCCTGATCTATTATGGTTTGATGGTCCAATGAACATGGGATAGGAGGAGGGGTGTTTCGTTGTACAGGATTGTCTAGAAACTCTATTTGATAGCCGGAGACTACTTGGAGGACCCAGGGGTCCTTTGTAATCTGTTCCCATGCTGCTAAAAAATGTTTCAATCGGCCTGCCTGAGGCAGGTTGTTTGGGAAATTCCAAAAGTTTCTGAACATACCTGATGGAAAGTGACTTGGGCGAGCCGAAAATATTGATGTGGTTTTGGCTGATATGGTGTCATTCACCTTGGCATAAGTGATCATTCTCTTGTTTTTTTGTCACGTAAGACTCAATACTGCCGTACTGGCCCTCGCGTGATTGAAACACGGCAATTTAAACACTTTAACAGAGAAAAATTCTTAAGTGACCTCAGTCAACTACCTTGGGCCACTGTTGATTTGTATTCTGATCCCAATCAAATGTGGCGTGTATGGAAAGATATGTTTCTTGGCTACGTCGATAAACACGCACCACTTAAATCCAAAAGAATTCGAAAAAAACGAACTCCATGGATTACTAGAGAGTTACTGAGCAAAATCCGAAAACGAGATTTCCTTAAAAAGAAGGCAATCTCCTCCAATAACCCGGCTATATGGGATCAATTTAGGTGTGCAAGAAACCAGGCAAATAGCGCAATTAAACTCGCAAAAAAACTCTATGTTTCTGACAACCTAAAAGCCAACAAAGGTAATTTGCGCAAAACATGGAACGTTATCAACGAGCTAACTTCACGTAACAGTGGTAAGTCAACGAATATTTTGGAGATCAAGGTAGATAATAAAATAGCAAGTAACCCTATGGACATTGCGGAAACTATTAACGATCACTTTACAAGCGTTGCGCAAGTATTAGCACAAGATATTCCTGCTGTCGATGCTAATCCTGAGTCTTATTTAGAGCCCACTGATCATTCGTTTTCTCTGCAAATTCCGAGTGTTGATATTGTTTCTAACGTTTTGTCGAAAATTGATGAAAAGAAAGCCACCGGTCTTGATATGATTCCGAGTAAATTGTTGAAAATGGCTGCTAATATCGTCGCACCCTCTCTTACCTCAATATTCTCAAAGTCTATTCTCACTGGGATATATCCAAACGATTGGAAAATGGCCAAAGTGCCTCCACTTTTTAAAAAGGGCATTAAATCGGACCCTAACAACTACAGGCCAATATCTGTAATCCCTATAATTTCGAAAGTTTTTGAAAGAATTGTTTATGATCAACTTTCCATTATCTAGATGATAATAAATTGCTACTAGGTTGCCAATCAGGGTTCCGTTCTCTACATAGTACGCTCACGGCTTTGCTTGAGCCAACAAATGCTTGGTTTTAAACATCGACAATGGCCTTCTAAATGGCGTTGTCTTTATTGACCTTACTAAGGCATTCGACACCATTGATCACGAGATCATCTTGCGTAAGATGTCATACTTGGGTGTCAATCAGGCAGCCATAAAATGGTTCTCGTCGTACTTAAGTGGCCGAACTCAAAGATGTAATGTCAGTGGCAAACTATCATCTGCTCGTACCCTCAGTTGCGGCGTGCCGCAGGGTAGCATATTGGGTCCTTTGCTATTTTTAATTAACATTAATGATCTTCCCAACTCCCTTCGGGGCGCCGTACCAAGAATGTTTGCCGATGACACCAACCTTACGTTATCTGCTAAGACGTTAACAGAGCTTAAGCTAGCTCTAACCCCTGAAAAAAATAACCTTAGCTGTTGGCTGAAAGCTACCAAGCTCAGTCTAAATGTTACTAAAACAGAGCTAATGATTATTGGATCAAGACAAAGACTATCTGCCCAATGTGACGATGTAGAAATCAGAATTGATGACCAAATTATCAAGAGAGTCGATCATACCAAATCCTTGGGTCTTACCATAGATGCTCAACTCTCTTGGGGTAAACACGTTGAAGAGATTTGCAAGAAAGTCTCTTCAGCTATAGGCGCCCTAAAACGTGTGCGGCCCTTTATATCTAAAGAAACTACAATTCAAATTTATAACGCCTTGATTATGCCTCATTTTGATTACTGCAGCCCCGTCTGGGACTGTTTGAGTGGTTACTTCAGTGATAAGCTCCAAAAATTACAGAATCGTGCAGCCAGAGTTATTACTAAATCACCCTTTGATGCGAGCTCATACCACCTTCTCTCCAACCTCAGCTGGGAGAGGCTATCTCTTCGACTAAAGAAATAAAAAGCCTTAATGATGTATAAAACCATGAATGACCTTGCTCCGGAATATCTACAAAGTCGTTTCTCTCAGCGTCACTCTGCTTAGAACTTAAGAAACTCTGAGGGAAGGCTGACCCTGTCCAAACCAAGCACCAATTATTTGAAACGAAGCTTCTCTTACAGCGGGGCCATGTTCTGGAATAACTTGCCCAAAAACTTTAAAAATGCTGCATCCGTTGAGCATTTTAAGCGAAATATCAAGAAGGTAGCTGATATATCGGATTCCCACACGGCAATCATGTAAAGCAGTTGTAATTAGTTTTAGTTCTTAACTTAAGCTTAACTGATGATTTCCCGTGTTTAAATAAAGATTTACATACATACATACATACCTTCATT